ATATATAGAATATATAGAATATATAGAATATATATAGAATATATATAGAATATATAGAAAGGATAGAATGTATGTATACATGCGAGTGCATAGATTGGACTCGAAATGCAAGCAAAAGTCGTCCAACCTCGAGCTCTCGGTGAAAGCGACGACAAAGCTGAGACGCGACTTGGGCTTGGGTGACGTACTTTCCAAACAATTGCGCGGCAAACGTCCGCTCCATGGCCGCGCATTTCAGCACAATCCATCGGAAATGGTTGACAAACCAAGCACGCGACGCGCCCAGGGACGGAACCATGTGACGCTGTGCCACCATGTACTCGTACAAGTCCCCAGCACTCCACGTCATGCCGCCGTCTGCGCAATGGAGTAATTCCGGCCTTCCCACGTGATTGAAGCGCACAGTATGAGCATTCTCGGCCGAGATTGCATGGATCGTGGTCGCCGACTCGAACGAATACGGGCTAAAGGCTCGGGGACATTTCGCCAACTGTGGGAACTTCCACGACTCAGAGATGGACACGGGGAACGGCACGGCAGATGCCGCGACGACGACTGGACGACGAGGAGGAGCTAGAGCTCTGCCGGGGTCCGAGTGGATTTTTGCTATGGGATTGGCCAGCTTCCGAGGGGCTTGAAACGCACTTGTGCGGTGGGGTTGTCGTCGAGTGGAAGCCCCCCGAGAAGGTTTGAGTTCTCGAGCATTATACTCGTGTAGTCGAGAGCGTGGGTGGTTGGTTGCAAAAGGAACGGACGACATGTGAGTTGAGATTGGACTTGCAAGAGTGTCACTGTGGAGTTGTGGTAGTGCTGGTACTGCTGGCTGTAACTTGGACAAATGGGCATGCACGTCGGTGTTTTGCATGTTGTCGTCGACCATAGGGTCTGATAGTAGCTCCAAGGCGGCATCATCCATGGACACATTCACTTGTCGGCCGGCCGCCGTTTCAAAGCAGCTGGTCGCATCGATTCCAGTACAACTAGCATCTTGATGTCCATTTGGATGAACGCCATCCACCTCATCTTGTCCACGTTCGCGGGGACACTGAGCCAGGTGATTTCGCTCTGGAGCATGCTGCTGCGGCGACCCGTTGATGGTACACGATCGCTGCATGTTGCCGAGGGTTGCTGTTTCCCCACAGTCAGTCGATGTATCGTCGTCGTTGATGGAGGTTCCACAGACGTCCACCGGCGCTCGACTCGTGCAACCACGAGCCACCGCACGTTCTTTGCATACGTCGCCCTTGTCTGCCATGAGGATGTTCATAAGATCACTGTTCAACGATGTCACATGTGGGACGAACGCTGTCGCAGGCGACTTGTGGTCGTCTTCTCGTCGAGTGGTGTGCATGCTGCTGCCTTGGTCGTGGTGCTTGAAGTTGTTGGCAAGACGTGAAGAATATCTCACCATCGTGATGTTTGAACTGGGTGTGTTGGAGCATGCCTCGACCTCCTCGATGGTGGGGGGAGCTGGCTCATCGTCGTCGTCTGCAAACAACTGGCGCTCGTAGGCTTGCATCTTGTCGACACATATCTCGACCGGTCGGCCCCTTCCCGACGTGAACAAACTCACCACAGAGAAAGGACCATCCACAGACTCGGCCAACTCTGTCGCATGCGCCGTTGCCTGTCGGTGATTTCTGAGCTTGGAATCATCATCATGAGGTACGCGGTCGCTGTCTTGTCCATGTTGTTGGCTCATCGAGAGTTGTGGGGTTGAGAGCGCCTCTACCTTGTTCTTCAAGGGTGGAATCCCCGGTAGTTGTTGTAGTTCCTTGTCGTGTGAACACAACAGTCGTTCGTACGCCTTGTCCGCCGAGATCGTCACTGGATCCAATTGACATGCAGAAACCAAACGGAACGATGATGGGTCGATCTGGAGTACGTTCGATTCGGTCGCAAACAGAGTTTGAGCGTACATGGCGGCTTTCGCTGCCGACACGTGGAGCGGCCGGCCGCGTTTGGCCGATTGAAACATGCTCACGGTTGAATCTTGGTCGTGTGGGCTGGTTCGTGACATGGTACCCTGTGCGCTTCGTTCAGGCTGTCGACTGTCGACTGTTGATGCGGATGCCTTGTCGAGGAGCGAAACCGTTCCAGGTACTGTCGTGCTGTCGACTGTAGCTTGGACACCATGATCCTCTTCTCGGACGGGCGACTCTTGTAGCTTTGCAGCGTACTCGCGAACTTTGGCTGATGATACGTTCACTTGCGTGCCTCGCGCAGTCTGAAACAAACTCACCATGACACTGGGTGGAGGAAGGGCAGTTGGCCGGGGGTTGGTGCTTCCTGTGACTTCAACGCCCAGAGCGGGAGTGGCAGCGATGGGTGCCGGTTGGACAGGGCCGGTGTCGAGCGCGTCCGACGACAGCAAGGCTTCGTATGACTTGGTCTTTGCAGCGGAAACGCGGAGAGAGGCTCCCCGTCCCGTTGAAAATAAACTCACCATGGTACCGTCCTGTATGGACTCCATCGCAGGTGGGGCGAGTGGGATGGGGGTTACAATGCCGTCTGTCTCTGTGGTGTGGGAATGTCGAGCACCACCGGGGACAGCCGCCATGGACGCATCTCTTGACGACATACTGGCGGCAGGAGTAGCATCGTTCCTGACGGTTGGATACGCTATACCGACAGTGTTTCGGCGTGACACTTGCGACTTTGAAGCATGTTCGTGGGGATGGTACTCCTTTCGATACGGTTTAGCGCGAGTAGTTTGACAATGAATACGTACCTCATCGGTCAAGATGTCGTGGTCGAGACGTTTACGACTTGTTGGTCCCTTGTTGTAGTCTTCCAGAGGTCGTTTCTTGGAATTGAGTGTGCTCTTGTCGATCGACGTTGCGTTTGGACCAGGAAGGGTTCCGAGTGGAAGTCGCTTCACCTTGTGTCGGGTCGATCTTCGTCCACCCTGTCCAGAATTTTCGTCGTTCTCTTCATTCTTCTTCAAAGGTGGCTTCGATGGATTCGCATCTTGGCTGTTCCGCATGCCCCGAAGTCTGAGCATTCTGCCACGTCCGTCCTTCTCGCGGTGGAATGGTGCTTCCGAACGAGTAAAAAGTACAATACAAACAATATTTTGTGTTTCGTCCATCTTGATACTCAATTTAACATGAAATAGAATATTTGAATTAAAAGTATTTATTGTCAGTGACCAAACTCCATCATTTCAAAATTTGCGCGCCAAGACACAAGCTGAACCTTTTGGCATCCACCGAAGTCATGGAGATCTCGCAACCGCAGTCGGCGCGCTTCTTAAGTGACAACATGGAGCTGCTGGGGTTTGGAGACCCCTGCTCGGCGCTTATCCAGGCAGTCAAGGAACTCTTCGAGAATGGTACTGTACATCGGTGGAAGTCGAGTTGTTCGTTCATGTTGTCCACACATGTAGCTCTGGATGCCATTCAATATACCGAGGCTGGAATGATTGCAGTTCGATTAAAGGAGGTGGAGCACGACGTAAACGTCCTTGAAATCGTTTGCACCGACACAGGTATGTTTGGATGTTGTAAGGCATGAAGCAATGCCGAAGGTATAGTTGTACTGATTTTCGATAGGATCGGGGATGCATGCAAACCAAGTGGCGCAATTATGCTGCAATGTATTTGCAACGACCAAATCGTCCAGATCAATCTCGGCGTCGCAATGCGGGAAGTTTGGTACTGTTGGATTGGGATGCGACGCGCCACGTTACCTCGACATTAATGCGACTGTGTTCAAGGAATTGGGTTGAAAGCTGCTTTGCTGTACAGCCAAAACCACGCGTCAATAGTCGACTCGAGTCTCAAAGTGACGTCAACGCTGAATTCCTCTGAATTTTATTACGCGGAATTGGTCATTGACCCGGAAGCCCATGACAATGGGTAAGTGACTTCGCTGTACCATATTATACATCGCCTGATACGGTGTCATTTCTCGTAGCGCGCTCGTTCGCAAGTCGAAGCGATTTCACGTGTCAGAAGCGCACAAGTCGTTTTCCGGCACCGAAATACGCCTCCAACTGCCGCGGCCACACCACTTGGTCGACGCGCTCCACGTGCTCATGCCCTACTTTGACAACTTGCGCTATTGCTTGGCCACCTCCGTGTCCGTGGACTTCTCATGCGATATTCCAGGGTTCAATCAGTACCAGGTCTGTTGTGCATCGCAGTTGTCTCCATTGGAGAGGTTTCTCGACGCGTTCAAGTGTCCTTACGAGTCGTTGGCTCACGCCGATGTCGACTGGAAGTCGTTCCATGCGAATTGTCTCGCGTTGTCGCCATATCTGGACGAAACCAACTTGGACGGCCGATGCCCCGTCACAATTCACATCATGCGGTTCGCCAACCATGTTCCGCTGTTGCCAAGGAAGGATGTTTATGCGTGTGCGATGACGATCGCCGTCCAACGCAGCGATTGGAAGGCGTTGGGGTACAAGTGTGTGGTGGGGACGTCCATGTACGCGCCACTGCAGTTGGTGCCGTTGTCTATAAACGAACGATCGGCCAGTGTTCAAGAACCCAAGCACGTTGTGGTTGCCATCGACGTCGATACGTGCGGGGCACCCGCCAAGTTTACGTCTTTGACCAAGACAGCGTTGGTGGAAGCGTCGTATTTGCAAGGGGTTTCCCAGTGCATGGCTCTAGCGTTAGATCAACTTGCGCGCATCTACCCAATCTTGTTTCGACGGGCAAATCGGTCCCATACCCTCGCAACCGAGTACGCGCCTCTGATTGCCACGGCCGTGTCCAGCATTCTCGTGAATGCCACATATGCGGGGGTGAATGTGGAGCATTTTGAACCAGGGCGGCCACTCTATGGCGTGCAGTCGCGCGTCGAGTTGGACCAACGAGTACTCGACCACATGACAAGCCTTCTACGACCCCATTCATGACCAAGTTACCACGTTGTTCGCCAACCCCCATTGGTGTATATCAACACAAACACATCAAGCAGAGTCCGTTTCTAAGCACAGTTCAAACTCGTCCATCCATCATATCTATTTCATCGCTTCTCCGTTCTACTACTCGTCGGCCACACGGACTTCTAAAATATGCAGCGCCATGGATCGCATGATGGCCTTGTCAAAGCGCGCGGCCAAGTTTGGATGTTGCTGCTTCATCGTGTCCATGGCGGCGGTCGGGATGAAGAAGATGAAGCAGTTGGACCGGGCTTCGGCCGTGAACGAGTGCTTCTTGTTCAAGATCATGTCGACGTCGCCGAGGAGCCCGCCGTTGGTCACTTGCATGATGCGCTTGCGGCCCGTGAACCCCGGGCCCATCTTCTTGTGCTCAGTCGATGGCAAGTACACATCCACTAGTCCTTTTCCGATCACGTAAAACCCATCCACGTCGCCGCCGCATGTGTAAATGAGCTGACCCTTTTCAAACGACTGCGTTTGCACGTACAGCGGCCCTGTGACATCGTCCACCTTGTCTCCTCCGACATGTTCAACCGATCCCCCCCCCCCCTTGGGCAGAAGCACGTCCAGCAGTTGCATGATGCGCCCGCTCTGGAGCAGGCGCGACGCGCTGTCCGACACGGGCACTTCCTTGGCGAGTAGGCCATCTTCGCACCACTCGAGGGCGATGTCAAGCGTCTCAAAGGCTTTTGTGGGCACGTTATCGCAGCTGTTGGTGTTCATGTCATTGTCGTCGAATACATCGTGGAGACGCAGCATGGCTTCAATGTGCTTGGGGAGGTTGGCAAACACGAGTGAGATGCCGTTCTCGACCAGCATCTGCTTGATCATGTTGAAGCCACTGCGCACGGCTGTCACGTCGATCCCTGTGACACGGTCAAAGTCAAGTACGAGAAAGCGCGTGCGGCAGGCCGGGATCGGCGCGTCCGCGCTGTACTCGCTCAAGTACTCGTTCATGTCGTCCAGGGCCATGAGACCCATGTTGGCTGGCGTGGCCGCGTTGTTCCGCGTCGATGTGCGGCCGTGGAGGCGGTGGCTGTTAAAGTTGGGTGTCGCCATGACACTCGTGCTAAGCGACCGGGTGCTCCGCTGGTGGAGCAGCTCGTCGGTTGTGAGCAGCACATGCTTGCGTACTTGGGCCATGATGTTGACAGAACTGCCAAAGAAGATGTACCCGTCCAACTCGAGGGTGACGATGGAGCCGCGGGACTTGAGCAGCGAAATGCGCTCCTTGAACTGGCGCTTGACATGGGACTGCTTCCACACGCGGCGGATGGACGTGGACTCGACGTACGACACGATAAAGTTGAAGGCGGCGCCGACGATGCCGAGCACGATGCCCGCTTGGAGGTTCCACAGCACCATCACGACAAACGTGAACCAGACAATCAGGTATTCGCTCACGTACATGCTTTTGCGGGCGTGCACAATCCATTCCATGAACAAGTCGACAAAGATAAGCGTCTGGAGCGACGCAAAAAACAGCTTGGGCACGTACGAGATGATTGAAAACGGACTCATGACCAAGGCGAGCTCGAGCGCAAACACTAGCACCCCCGTGAGCCGACTGTCGACGCCAGACTTCATAGAGAAGATCGTGGATGAAAAAATGTACGACCCGGTGAACCCCCCCGTGAGTCCTGAGATCACGTTGGACCACCCGACGGTTTGGAGCTCGGCGTTGTGGTCCAGGGGTTTATGCAGAGCCATCTCAATCGCCGCTACGTCCAGCGAAGACGAGAACGCTACGACAAAGTACATGGCGATCCAGGATGGTAGCTGGTCCAGCATAAACTCGGCGTGGAAATGCGACGGTTGAAAGTGTTTGTAAATGTCGAGAAAGTTCATGGTCGCGTTCGGCAGCGGCGCGATCCATCCGTAGGCGCGGGCGTCTTGGAACGACGTGCCAGACACTGCCATGGACCCAAAGAACAAGGCGAGGATGGTCAACATGCACATGGGAAGAATCGTGAAGTGCTGGATGCGCTGCGTGACGACCCACATGAAGATGCCGGCGACGATACCCGGGGCGCACAAGTAGAACGACTTGAGGTCGGTCAACTGCGCCCAGTCCGTAATCTCCTTGACCTCCTTCCCAGACATCATGGCCACGCCCGCTTGCAAACAGAAAAACCCGATGAACGCAAAGTACCCGCCGACAACTGGCATGGGAAGGTACTGGACAAAGCTGGCCCACCTCAACTTGCCCGTGATCACGAGCGCGACGCCCAACAACGCGGTGGACCCACACAGAGTGAACAACGTCGTAGCTAGCACTTCCTCCATCACGAACACCGTGTCGGCTTTGTGCAGGGAGTGGACGATGGAGGTTGCAATCGCTGAGAGGAAGATCAACCCGGCATCTTGCACTTGCCCCACCGCGAACGGAAGCGTGCTCAACACGCTAAAGCAGATCTGATGCACCGCGCCAGATACCATCGTGAGCTTCACGAGGTCCGCCAAGTAGGGTTGAAACACTGGGTCGCGAAAGATGATTTGCGAAAAACTACATACATGCATCGTTCAGGTCCCAATGATACTAGTATGCGAGTCGTTCGTGGGATAGGCAGAAACATTACCTGATCATCAACGGAACGAGAATGACCGCATTGATCAACCCGTACAGACCAATCTTCAGGTACTTGCTGCCGTCCGATTCCGGTGCGACGGCATGGTGCGTCGTCGCCGCAGATGTTGTCGACGTGCCACCGTTGCTTCGGGAACCTTGGTCCGCCGTGAGAAACGGCAGTCTCTCATCGTCGTAGCGCAGACTCAGGCGATGCTTGGCATTCGGCGTTCTTGCGATTGCCCCGACACTGTTCATGGAGCTCGAGGAAGGACGGTCGCGGGGGACGCGGCCAGATTTGCAACTGGCAACGTCCGTATAAAAGTATGACGGTCAAAAGTCGAGAAAGGCGTGCATTAATGTACTATGTATGTACTATGTACTGTACAACCAATTTTCTGTGATACAGATTCATTCAATGTACGATATCACCCAATGTACGATGTACGTGACACACGTACGTTACAGTTCATGAATATACGGTAGGGCTGTTCCGTACTTTCTGACGAAGTTACACTTCTGGTGGCGGTGGCAAAACTTGACTTAGGTTCTTATTGCATGCAGTATGCAGCCCATGATGCCGAGAACACTGACGCCTCGTTTGAAGCTGTTCACTTCACCGTAACTTAGCAGAGCCGTGGGTTCACAGAATTCAGAAGTGTCTTGACTCAAACTTGTACTGAAGTATAGTGGGCAACCCGAATACTCCCGAACGCCCGATCTCAGATTGTCATCACCAGTGCAGTTGCATCACGTTCTCGTAACGTCCGTCATTGATGGTTCGAGAAGGATGGGGGTGACAGTCGTACTACGGTGGTCGCCTTAGGTGGTACATCCGCCAAAGCTGACACCGAATTCATTGCCGCCAATATGAAATACTAAACTCCTTTCATGTTGAACCACATGTCAACAGCCCCCCCCCCCCACAAGCAACCAGATAACTTTAAACATTTGCGTGCTCTGACAAACCTGGGATTGATGTGACAAGCTTTCGCGGCAGCAGGGGGACATCAGTGAAACCTCGCACAATACCGTACCAATACACAGATTTCAGCTGTCTCCATGCATCAGATGTCGTAACTGTACGACACCCCCGACCCACACTTGATGTGCCATGTGCATTACGATTGTCGAGATCAGACGCTTCAACAGCAGGCGCAAAATCGCTGCGAGAATAACTCCAACTATACGTATTGGTTTAAGAAACAGTCAGCTGCCTACTGTAGCACCTCTCTTGTCCATAGTCCACACAATCTATTTGGACAACACTCATTTATTGCCGCCTTCACACAGTCATGGCATGCTCTTTCTTGAGATTAACTCATTTCGACACCGCTCAACGTTCAAGCTCTCGTGTCCGATCGTGTGGTTGTGAGGAGCTTGCTTGTTGGAAACGTTGAAGTGGCTGGAATGTCATATGGCCACGACCCAATCAAATCGCTCCGTACGACTTGGCAAAACGGTTCGTCCGCCAATCAGACTGCGATTTCGACAAGGTCACCTTCATGCACATCCGTTTGGGAAGTGCGCAGCGACATCCACGTCCTAACTTCACGCAAGACCACTAACAACACCATGGACAGTGTCGGTGCCACCGCTCGCACTCCCAGTCACATAAGCAACCGACTTATGTACTTAATACGATGAAGAGACTCTTCCCATCCTCACGCTCCACCAGCGGCAGTCGCGGCAGCAGACTCCGCCACTCGAAAATACACCAAGATTGCCGTCTACGGTGTTGCAAATGCATTTATTCTCGTACCTACCGCTTATGATCAGGTACGAATGTAATGCAGTGATCCCAACGATGTATCTTCGACTAACGGTAACTCAAGTCTAACGACGCCTATAGCTTTGCGCAAATCATATTTCGAGACCCAGTGTTCCAACCCTACTTGTCCGAACTCGTCAAGCTAACCATGATGTCGACTAAAATGTGAATCTATTGTTATGTGCCTCTATCACTTCCGTCTCGTTATCATGTCCTCAAACGCACTCAACGTTGAAGGCGCCGTGCATGAACTTTGCTTGTGTCCAGCGCACTGCAATTTGCCGCCGGTCAAGACCAAGGCGCTGACTTGCTCTTCGTATCGGCGATGGCCAGCTCCGTCATACATTCGTTGCACGCGGCGGGTGGCACGTCGCCCCCTTCTGACGCCCACTAAAACATCTTGGTCACTCTTCACCTTTTGTGGCCCCACTGCACTTCTGGACGTGGCGCTGGTCGCTACTGGCAGGGAGCCATCTTTGTGCAGTACACCTGCCCATGTCAGTGGTCGGCGGGTACCTGTCGCTCATTCGGTTCTACTGCTTCGAAGCGGAAGTGTTGATGATGTCGGGCCAACAAATCAACTCCGTCCTGAACTGGGGTCCTCCTATAAACCCACGCTATTTTGTTTACCTTAGACCTAAGGGCGTGTTCCTCTTCGTCACTACCCAACGCGTTAAGCCCTATTCGACGTTGCCAGCGACCATGACCTTTCTCGATATCTACAAACACTTTCAACCGTCGCGTTTCCACGGTGAGTTTGTGCTGGATCAGCTGCCGTCCTGGATCGCCATGTACAGTACTTTGTCGTGGCATTCTCGTCTTCGCTGGACGTAGCGGCGATTGAGATGGCTCTGCATAAACCCCTGGACCACAACGCCGAGCTGCAAACCGTCGGGTGGTCCAACGTGGTCTCAGGACTCACGGGGGGTTCACTGGGTCGTACATTTTTTCGTCCACTATCTTCTCCATGAAGTCTGGCGTCGACAGTCGGCTCACGGGGGTGCTGGTGTTTGCGCTCGAGCTCGTCTTGGTCGTGAGTCCGTTTTCAATGATCTCGTACGTGCCCAAGCTGATTACTTTGCGTCGCTCCAGACGTTCATTGCGATCGACTTGACCATGGAATGGATGGTCCACTACGCCAACTTGTGGTTCACGTTTGTGATCATGGACGTGTTGAACTTGGAGGCGGGCATCGTGCTGGGTACGATCGATGCCCGCCTAGCGTCCGCGTCGTGTCGCGGCAACGCGATTTTCACCTTCGAACTCTTGTCATGCAACATCGAGACCGGATTGTCGTACTCGATTTCATCTTCTTTAGCAGTTGTTCCATGCACATTCGAATCCAAGTGCAGACGCATACTATCGTGCTGCCCCACTCGTCGTCTACTGTGGGATAGCACATCACTACCTGTAACTTTGAAACGCCTGGGAGCAACAACAACAATGCACACAACTTGGCGAGTCTGTCCTCGTGCTCGACTTTGAGCGCGTGTGGGGTATCGACGTGACAAACCAACCTCCACAGCTGTTTCACCGCCACCAAGCCATATCACACCATCACCCTCGTGCGTCGACATGGTGCTCAACCGCCGCCACCGCAGACCAAGATGCAGTCGCTCGTTTAATATTTGGACCAAATAGTTCTGAGGCGCTGCACCTGGCGGCACCACTGGCGGCGCGCTTGAGCAAGACCATCCTCCTGCAGTCTATGGTCCTAGAGTACCATGTAGCCATTCGCGTGAGGCCACATTGATACACAGGACGGAGACAGCCAACGTATCATTGCTGTCAGACGTAGCTTGAGTAAGACTCCATCGTCACATATTGTGGCCATAGTCACGACAAAATTCACGACTTCCGCCTCGGGCATCGTCACTCCGCCACGGTGACCTGACGACGCCACCACCCATCATCTCAGACTTCATGACCGTAGCCGCGGTCATGAAGTCTGAGATGATGGGTGGTGGCTTTGGTGGAGGTTAAGGTGGTCAAGGACATGGTGACCGATGCGGTGGTGGCCTCGTTTTGGGGTTTCGAGAGTTCACCAAATTACAGTTAACGTGGGGCACCAGTCATCAGCATCGCTCCATGCTTACTTTGTTCGTCGATTTCTCGTTGACTACAACACATATTGAGGTGATACAAATATCAAAATAACCGCAAGATTCAGCTCATGAATTGAGGTTCAAAGGATATCAATTTCAATAGTAAACACAAAAAACGCTACTTTTGAAGATATCAATTTCAATAGTAAACACACGTGCAGTAAGGATTTTCAAAAGTAGCGTTTTTTGTAGGGCACCAGTCATCGGCACACGTTTTAGACTTGTGTAATGTATTGAATCCTCCACGCTCTAGTTCGCGGGATGCTGTCATCATATTAGCTATCAAAGGAATATGGGTTTAGAATGGGTATTAACTGCTACAGTAACGATTTCTGTATGATCAACACAAAATTGACTGGTCCAACCTCTAATTTATAAGGGGTACTAATTCTTGAAGAACTACATTTTGACCAATAAGAGGTATTCGGGTATTTCTATTGGCTTAGAACAGTGCCGATGACTGATGTCTTTGCCGATGACTGGTGCCCTACGTTAACACTATATAGCGTCAGGGGTGGGGATGTTCTAATATTATTAATCTATGATCGTACATTGTACTAACACTATATAGAAATTTTGAAATAGTGTGCATGTATCTAAAGACGTACACTAAATACAGTTGCCATTATTGCTGTTGGTGCCCATGACGTCCACGCGCAAGTTCCGTTGCGACGACTTGTTCCGATTCAACAATGTCAACTTGGATGTCCTGACTGAGACCGTACGTCAAAGAGGACATTCCCATCGCTCTTCCTCATCTACGTCTTCCTTGAATGCGCGATATGACCGAAGGAATCTGTGTATAGTACAACATGCCGTTCTACTTGCAATACTTGACCAAGTGGCCCGACTACTTCCTCCTGCAAGAAGACCCGAACGGCACCATGATGGGATACGGTATGTCTCCATGTACCTTCCTGGGACCAAACAACTGCATCATTTGTAGTCATGGGAAAGGCCGAAGGCAAGGGTGAGAACTGGCACGGTCATGTGACAGCGGTGACGGTTGCCCCCGAATTCCGCCGCCTCGGTCTGGCCAAGAACCTCATGGACTACCTGGAGAACGTTTCCGTCGAGCTGTACGTGTACCTTCGTGTCTCCATATTCGTAGTCGTCATGGGGGTTCATGCTTAGGTACGACGGGTACTTTGTCGACTTGTTTGTGCGCGTGTCCAATACGCCGGCCATTGGCATGTATGAAAAAATTGGGTATTCTGTCTACCGTCGGGTCATTGGTTACTATTCTGGCGACGACGACGGCGAAGATGCCTTCGGTAACGTGTTCCGATACTGTGTGGGTGCTCCATGAACATACCATCCCTAGATATGCGCAAGGCATTGCCGAGGGACAAGGACAAAAAGTCCATCATCCCCCTGCCGTACCCGGTAATGCCTGATTCGTTGATGGACTAAGCGCGCATGACGTCGAAATACACAACTATTCATCATGCCCACATATCGGTAGACGAGTGTTTGGACCGGGTTTTCTGCAGGATGTGCACTTGCCGCGGCAGTTCTCATGGGGCTTTTCATGCAAACTCCACCGGACAACACAACGATGATGCTGAGTGTCGTCGTGTCTGTCGTGGTCGCGCTGCTTGTGCTACGCGTCCTCTACATGTGCCTTCAGAGGATTCTACCGAAAGCGATGATAGCGGACTTGACATATGTCGACTAAGGAGACCTCATGCTTGCTCTACATGTTCCCCTTCATGCACATGCTGGCAAGTCCACATGCATCACTGTCGGCACATATGAGTTGCGTCTTCGAAATGGAGTGAAACGGGAGAAACTCTGTGCCCCGGGGTACGGTCACAGTGTGATAATGATCAGATTACTACGTCATTATCTTGATATTTGTATGCTGTGTCATAGTCGAATTAAATAAATATTCCGCGTATATAAATGTCGAAACATCGCAGATCCTATACGGTACTGGTACTCGACAAGAGAGGGACAACACATCATGGCTGGCACCAAGAAGCGCAACGAGTACGAACCGATCCGAGACAGGACCGGACCGTCTGCATCGCGGTACTCGTCGCAGCAACAGGCACGACCGACGCCGGATAGTGCGATCCCGATCCAGATTCCCCCGTATGACATCGAAGCGGGAAAGTTTGCCATCCTCGAGAGGCAGAAACATGTGTGGGCGACGTTGGACTCCCGCGCGCGGAAAATCCAGCTTTTGGCGATCTTGCAAGCCTTCATTGGCATCCTCGTGTCCATGGACAGCGCGTGGTATACACACATCTTCGGCATCGCAATCGGTTTCGTCGGCCTCGTGGCCGTTCGTGGCGACAAGCCCGACGTGCTCATGGTGTACTTGTTCCTATGCGTCATCGAATTCGTCAAGAACATGGGGTACATTCAGGACGTGTGGTCTCATTGGGGCGACGCCCCACCTGCCACAGCGATACGGACCGCGTCCAACGGCACCGACGGCAGCAACATTCAACAGTACGATCCCACAGGGTACGCGAAGAGTGTGAACCGGTGGGTTGCTGTCGGTCTCGAGAACAAGTACTTGATCTTTCAGCTGGTCATGGTCGCGATCGAAGAGGTCCTGCTCATCGTACGTCGTTCTCATTCTCTTCTCCACTGGAACTCACTCGTCCATGTTAGCCATGTGTCTTTGTGCTCGGGTATGCTTCTGTCCACGCCGCGCTGCAGCACTTTTAATTTTAGGGCCCCTTTTCAGATGAAACCGTTTATATTATTTTTCCACGTTTTCTTGCTAGTGACGTTCTCTCTTATTAATAGTTCGAAGTTTCGGTTGATAGTTATTTCCATACAATAATACTGTATAGCTATCATCATAGATAAGTTGATATTGATAGTATGATATTCTATTTCTTGGGATCACTGCTTACAACAACTTGACCTTGCCCTCTTCCACGAGCGAACTCACGACTCGATACCGAAGCACATGCCGGTCATCCTTGCGCGCATTCACGTGCTCGGACCCTCTACAAATCAAGGGAACATGCAGTTCCATAAGAAAGACGCAAGGAAGTATAGCTAAGTCCCACCTGTCGTCGATTTGAACGTTGCCAATGTCTTGATTGGATTGGCAAAACACAAACGTGTCCAAGTCGGGATGGTCAACTAATCGATATATCGACCAATCAACACCCAGAACACGAATCAAGTAGCCAATCAAATCATCGACTCACATTCGACCAAGGCAACATCGAATTAGTGTGTGACTGAAATTAGTGTGATACTGGACGATCTTTACATATAAAAGTCAGTAGAACCAATCGATCGATAGATTTGGCGAATCAGCACAAAGGTCCAAATTTGGGGTAAAAAATGACAATATCACGTCTTGGTTCGATGGAAAATGTTACTCATGTGGGGTTCGTCGAGCTGTTGATGGTCGGGCGGGAGCTTGGACAAGAGCAAGTCGCGGCAGTGGCTTTCGTACAAGTCCTTGTACCTACATACAAGGAGCGGCATGAGAAGACGTTGGACGGTTCATTCCAAGGCTCATTACGAGTGGGCGTAGTCGACTTCGCCCGGAGACAATTTGTCCATCGACGCGTGCAAGACATGCCTCGTGTGCCGCTCGATCTTCATCAGTCGAAGGCGCAAATACGACGCCAGCATGTACTTGATGCGATCGATTTCCATCTGCATCGTGATCAGCACCACCAGCAGGGGGTGGTACTGTAGTACAGAATGTAGACGTACCTGGTATAATTTGTTGGTGAACGATCGCTCTTCCGTCAGCGTTGCAACGTCGGCCGACATTTCGTCCACGTAACTTTGCTACGTACATCGTGAATATGGGGTATCCTTACAGATAGGACAATCACGGCCTGTGTACATATGTGCTCACGGCTCTACTGTACCTGGTTTTGAACTTGCTCCACCATATCCGAGATCAAATCGGTCTGAAACGTCAGCAGTTCCGGCGCGTTCTAGGACAAACCAATGTCGTCCTCAGTCCATCAATCATACACTGGCAGTTAAACGACTCTATATACCAGTTCATTCGCCCAGGCATCCCGCAAGAGGGCTACGTCTTCGTTCAGGTTCTCTTCGGGGAAGTCGTCGGCCATGGCGTCTCGTACTACTTGATGCGCAAATAAGCGTATCCGGACTATCGATCATCCGGATGTTGACTAAATCAGTCATTTTATCCAATCAAAGGTTGAAGTGGCAACGACAGGTTGCAATTGGGGGTGATGTTTAAAACACTAAAATACACCCAACTGACATTTGTTTCAAACAGTTGTCCAAAGTATAGTTAAATCAAGTGTTGGAGTCCTTCAAGGCCCTTGTTTAAAACAGTGGCCCACACCACTCAAAGCGAGAAGACTCTGGAAGTAGTTGAAAACTTTGTGGGACGATCATGGAGCAAGGGAAGCAAGCCGCCGAGAAGTTGGCGAAGAACATCCCCAAGAGTGGGTCGCCGCTGGCGGCATTGGTGCAGGGGTTAGTTGTGACCGGCGCGTTGGGATACGGCCTGTACTCGTCGTTGTACGACGTCAAGCCCGGTGAGCGCGCCGTGATCTACAACCGGTTGTCCGGGGTCAAGGATCAGGCGATTGGGGAAGGCATGCACGTGATGTTGCCTTGGTTCGAACGACCCGTGATCTTCGATGTGCGCACTAAGGCCCATCAAGTGAGCTCACTCACGGGGTCGCGCGATCTTCAAATGGTGAACGTGAACCTTCGCGTGTTGACTCGCCCCATCAAGGAAGAACTGGCGTGGATCTACCGCCGCCTCGGGGCCAACTACTCGGAAACCGTGCTTCCTTCCATCGTCAACGAAACGGCGAAGCAAGTCATGGCTCAATTCAATGCGAGTCAATTGATCACACAGCGTGAACACGTGTCGCGCCTGATTGCGCGCAACTTGAAAGAGCGTGCGTTGGAGTTCAAGATCGACGTCGAGGATGTGTCCGTGACCCACTTGAGCTTTGGCCGCGAATATACCGCCGCCGTGGAAGCGAAGCAAGTGGCGCAACAAGACGCCGAGCGTGCGCGCTTCATAGTGGACAAGGCGATCCAGGAGAAGAAGTCGACCATCATCCGCGCCCAGGGGCAAGCCAAGGCCGCCGAGTTGGTCGGTGAAGCCATTAAGAAGAACCGCGCTTTCACACAGCTGCGTCGATTGGATGCCGCCAAGGAAATCGCGCAAGTGATGAGCCGATCGCAGAACCGCGTGTACCTCAACTCGGAGTCGCTCCTGTTGAACTTGTTGCAGGATTCCACCACGGGACAGTTCAAGTAATGTGACATGGAGTAGGATTGAGATGATAGAGGACTCCCGAGATGTATCGCTAGTATACGTATAACAAAAGTATGGGCACGGTTCCGTGGCACTTTTTGGGACCCTTCGATGGTGGGGTTCCTTTATTCCAAATTGCTACTACCTCTGGACCAATTTACTCGGGACATTTCTCTTCTCAGTGAGCCGACATAATCAATTTTTACCCAATTTTGACGAGCTGTATACCTTATTTGAAAGAATTTGAAAAATTTGATGTAGTATTCTGGAAAAAGTACATGTTCGAACTGTCCCAAGTATATTGGAGCAGAGGAAGTATTATTGTGCTTTGCACTTGTTTTGGCGTCGGTTTTACGTGGCTAAAAGAGTGGTAAATCTTCTGTAACGATGTTACAAAGTTGAATAAATATTAATACCTGGTGTTTTAGCTAATTCACTGGGGTTTTATATATACTGGTACCTAATAACTCTGAGCAATAATAATCACATGTGATGCTGAAGTGACCAAAACACCTTGGCTGTTATTCCATCGCGTAGTACGCGCTACCTGCTGTTTGGGCGAGTGGAATGCAAATAAATTTTCCACTGGTCCGATTTTAACGTAGTTTTTTTTTATCTCTTCGTCTTCGATAATATATTTTGCTTGCAGAAGCTTGAAGGCCCAACTACAAAACTGTGCTCTGCGTTTGCAAGCAACGATTCCAGCGATGAAATGTAGTATTTTAATGAAGTAGACTATTTAAATAGTTATATTTGCTCATATACTTTTAATAATTTGTACCTCTGATATAGTAATACTATATATTATTTAACTCTTATTTTATTTTAAGACTCAAGTATAGTATACTTCGATGTAACTGTTTTAAAAATGCGTTTGCATTAAGTACGATTAGGTGCTGAAACTTCATTTCAAACCTGGTGGAGTATCGACACTAGTTTTTTTCCATGGAGCGTTCATAAATTCCGACGTCAACCAATAGTATTTTTTTCATATTTTATATTTTAACCAATAGTATGCTCATAGTGTAAATTGTATGATTGATTGGATATAATAAAATTAATCAGATTGATCTGATTGCAAAATTATAATTCGTACTCGGAATCACAACTTGCGCATTCACATACAATTTCCCATATATTTCAAAATACCGCTGTGCGCGAGTTCCTACTGGGTTCTCTGTACTATGCGATGGAGCAAGAAGATGGTGTGGTTTTCTACGATGTGGCACCATACGTACATCGCTGTACGGTAGAACACAGGCGCATGTCCTCGCTGTGTGTCATTTGTATTATCAAAAGTTGTTCATGATGACCAGTGAATTGTGCAATTTGGTCCCGAGAATAGCAGATATAACTTCGATTTGCACTTTTCAAATGTGCAAAAGCGAGGGAGTTGCATAAATGACCTCCCTATAATTACATTCTGTAACGAAAAGTGATCCTAATTCACTGTACGGATTATCTAAAACACTGGGGTCGGTGTAACAAACACCCAGGTTTATGGTGTGAATAGCCAAAACGAGTGAAAAGCACAATATGATAGTGTTTCTTAAAGAGGATTCCTAGGACTTAAATAATCATGCTGAAATTGGTATTGGTGTTGATGAAAAATGAACTAAAAGAGTGAAAATATCCATACTATTAATAATAGCATAATCACTCTATTTGAGTGATTTGGCTATATATAATTCTTTGCAAATTTGTTCGAGAAAAATCACTATCACAAAACCTCACAGAGAACTGAAATTTCATAGTGACATTCATTTTATGACATGACAATTATTCTTGGAGTATGGACAACAACGTGTGTCGTAGAGGACAAATAGTCCGAGTCCGTGCTGAAGACAGCATTCCGCTTTAAGGGGTGCACCGACGAGGAGCTTCTTAAGGAAATCATTCATGTTAGGCCGTTCAATGCGCCCCATGGTGAGGTCAAGAACCGCTGGACAGAGGTCATAGAGCATCTCCAACGCAGCTATGGCCAAGCCATAACGGTAACCGTGCCCATCATCCGGTTGATAACCGAATGACTAGTCGACACCTCTTCAGTCCAAGGTGTCCTTTCGCTTACCAACATGTCCTCTTGCGCAACCAAGGTGTTGTCCCGAGGATACATCAATGCTTGGTTGCGCGTAGCTTAGTGATAGCGTAGTAGTCTTAACGCTATCAATCATTCTAGATTCTACCACCTCCTGCGCCTACCTATACCATGCTCACACTTGGTAATACTCCACGTTCGTGCAGTCGACCAATACTATGTCCTTCACCAACACCGCCGCGCACCAGGCGGTCTTCGCTCTTTTGCGTCGCGGTTTTGGCGACAACGATACCGCTCAACTTCTTGGCTGGATGACTCCCAAGAACCAAGCACGCCTTGTGGAAGGCATCGTTAGCACGATCGAACTTTCGGCCGCCGAAGCAAAGGCGGCCCAGAAGACATTGGAAGAACAAGTGACTCTAATGTCTTCGCACGGGCGCAACCTTGAAGACCCCCTCTATGTCGCTCGCGAGAAAATCGCGACCTTGGAAGAGTAAGTTTCCACCATGACGACACATGGGCACACCCTCCAAGATTCTCTTCGCATTTCTCAAGATGAGGTTGCACGTCTCACGCGCGCTTTAGCGTCGGATACCCCATCCACTTCTCGTCTGAAGTCAATCAAGCTGGATGTTGCCAAATTCGGCGAAGCGGGGTACGACAAACTCCTCCGCTGGCTTTTACAAGATAGCACTGTTGCTGACGCCCAGCATATCCCCAACGACGCCACCCGCGCGGCTTTCGCGATGTCACATTTGTAGGGTCGCGCGGAAGATTGGGCGTTCTTCAAATGCTTGACGGACCGTCATTGCTTCCTGTCCTTCACGGACTTTGAGACCGAACTAAAGGAAATGTTCCTGCCGCCCAACAGCGGCTTTCGTTATCGCTCGCAGTATCTGGCATGCAAGCAAGGGAAACGTTCCCTTCAAGAGTTCATCCATGACCTTCGCTTCTTGGCAGCGAATATTAACGATGATGAATCCCCTCGGAGTCCCTACGTGTGACCGTATTCATGGACGGTCTCAACCAAGGTCCGGCGCACAGCCAGCGCGCGCCTACCCGGATACCTTCGAAGAACCCGTCCGAAGCGCGCTTTCGGAATCATTTTCCTCCTCCTTCGCGCACGCAAGCGCGGCCTCCTCGGACATGGATGTCTCCATGCTCACCCAAGCATCGGACGACCGCACGTGTTTCAATTGCGGTCGCCCTGGACACTTTTCCCGCGCATGCCCTACCTCGCCGTGTGGCGTCAGCTGCGCCTACATCGCACGGTTCCCCGTGCCGCGCCACATATCCACTCGCATCGTTCTCCGAGCGGTCCATGTAACCGCTTCAATCGCGAACGTCATGACGCCTCACGTCCGCCTTTCCGTCCCGCCCCAGGCTCGAGTGCGGCGGGAAACGGTCGCTCCCAGTAGGCGTGAGGCGATCTACTAGGGACACCCTAGTTAGGTGTGTGGCGCGCTGACACACTCTAAGGACCTAGCCTCGGACACATACCTTCTTCTGTGTGGTGTTGGGCTCCAACCCAACGAAACGATTCATTTGGAACTTGTCGTGCCTGGCTTTCTGGCCAGGCTCTCTGCTTTAATCGATTGTGTGGCGTCGAACAACTACGCCAGCCGCTCCAATCTCACTCGCCTCAACCGCTTACCCTCTTCAGATCCCTCCGATAGGGTTCGCGTCAAGATGGCCGACGGCCACACTGCATCACAACCACGCATCATCGTCGACGTTCCCATCAACTTCTACGGTTTCGACTCGGTCGAACCGTTCTATATTATCGACCTCGATGAGAGGTGGGACCTCATCATCGGGATGTTCTGGCTGGAATCCCATCAGCCATGGATTGATTGGAAGGCAAAATCCATGCATAAGGTTACCTTGCTCAACGCGAGCCAACCCTGGATTGATCGGCGGGGTGCCGATCGCCTTCCCCCGTCCACCACCAACCCGCTTGGTCCTCCGTTAGTGGCGATGACTAATGATCTCGCCCCTCCTAGCCCCGCAGCGCGCTCACTGGCCCCAGCACACACGGCCCAAACGGACCCAGCCACGGTGCTGCACAACCCCCCTTTCGTTCCCCCAACAGAGTCGCCCTATGTTGTCATCGGTGAAGCTCAGGACAATATAGTATCATTTCTTGTAAAAGATCTTGATTTATGTACTGTATTGTGGGTTCTACTCGAAATTTCCATGCGTGATTCGCTCACAGTCAATCAATTGATGAGTCCTTCAATCTACCGAAACCTCTATAATGACATCATTTATAGATACAGAGAGGTTACATACGAACGCAATCCGAGCGAAGCAACCGTGGACTTAACCACAACCGATGCGTTCAAGGACATCACACTCCCGTAGAGAGCAATCGCATGCGCGCCTCCCCATTACCCCAAGCACAAACATGAAGCAGTTGTGCTACCTCGTGTCTCATCTCTGTTCATAGACGTCATCGCCCCCGATTGCTGCCTCGACCTTGGCGACCACGTTTATCGAAGAAACGTGTAACTTGAACGAACTCCCTCGGACGTCATCCGAGATCCTGGCCGCCAAAGATGAGCTTCCACTCGCTTGTGGAATCTCTCCATGATATCGCCGCGTTAGCGAAGATCACTGTCGAAGAAGAGATGGATCTCTTTTCGATCTCGAGAGCGGATGAATCGGACCTCGCCGCTCCTTTGAAGTCCCAGACGTGGGACTCCCTGCGGTCCAACCATATTACGACCTCCTCAAAGAGTTTGAGGACGTCCTTCCCGACGAGGTGCCCTGCCGACTCCCCGTCGACAACGGCATTCAACACGAGATTAATCTCGTGCCTGGCGCTAAGTATTGCGTCACGCGGCAATGACCACTACCTCATTCTTCGCGGCCCGCAAGGCGGCGGGTCACGTCCGCGAGAGCATTTCCCCTCCCAGCAGCCCGACCTTCTGTGTGAAGAAGCCCGGTGGGAAATGGCATATTGTACACGCCTTTAACAAATTGAACGCGGCCAAGATTCCGGCACAGATGCCGATTCCTCGCAAAGACGATATTATCGACGGCATGGGTCGATCTACCATTTTCTCCACCATCGACCTCCTCGATGGCTTTTACCAAATCCTGATGCGTCTGTGTGACGTCCCTAAAACGGCAGTTTCTACGCCGAGTGGCATGTTATGGGAGTTGTTAGTCATGCCACGAGGTCTCTCCAACTCCCCGGCGACGTTCAACCGCATGGTCACCGCGAAGTTCCGCGCGTTTCGCGTCTTCGCCCCGTCGTACTTTGACAACATTTACGCCCACAGCTGCGCTTCACCCGCGCTGTCCTATCTTGACGTTCACCGCGGCCACCTCGGACAGGTGTTTGAGGTCCTCCGTGCCAACGGACTCTACGTCAACCTCACCAAATGCATGTTTGGCGTCGACGAAATCCCAGTCTTGGGAGATTTGATGGGAGTGCACGGCTGTCAGGCTGACCCCGACAAGATCAAGGCCATTTTGGAGTGGCCTATTCCCTCCTCCGTCAAGGATCTTCGTCGCTGGCTGGGCCTTTCGACGTATAGTACCTCCACAAATACTCGCACAACTTTGCGGACATCGCCCAGCCGTTGTTTCAGCTTCTCCTCAAGGATACCCCTTGGGTTTGGGATACCGCTTGTCAGTCAGCCTTCGAAGGCCTCAAAACCAACCTTCAACGCGCCCCGATCTTGGCGCTCCCAGACTTCGACAAACCTTTTTCCGTCGTCTGCGACGCTTCGCAGTTTGCCATTGGCTGCTGCCTGATGCAGCTAGACGCCTCCGGCCGCCCTCGCCCGGTCTCCACCAAGTACCCAGTTCACGATTTGGAACTTCTCTCCACGAAGTGCGCCCTCACCAAGTTCTGCATCTACCTCTTCGCGGTAAACCCTTCGTTGTTTACACCGATCATGCGTTCTTACACACGACGACCAACACTCCGCACATTTCGCAGCGCATGGCGCGCTAGATGCCGTTCTTCTCCGAATTAACATTTTCGGTTCAGTACAAGCCCGGGAAGAACAACATCCTGGCCGACGCCCTGTCTCGGCGTCCTGATCTCGAACTGATCACGATCGGTCTGTTGTCGTCCGGTTTTCACGATCGGATTCGCGCGGCGTACCCCTTTGACGCTGACTGCTCATTAGGCATGTCGGCGCTCACCGCCCCCGTTTCCCCCAAACCACGCTGCGCTTCGACGGCCTTACATCACTTCGCCCTAGCCGATGGGCTTTTGATGTTCCAACCCACCACGGACTCACCCCCGCGCATTGCCGTGCCCGGTGACGCGCAGCTGCGCCTCACTCTCCTCCGGGCGTACGACGACTCCCCAGTGGCGGCCATTTTGGCCGTGACAAAATGCACGCGGTCTTGGCGCGTTCGTACTGGTGGCCCCGCATGTACAAATCCGTCGTGCGCTACGTCGCTCACTGCGACGCTTGCCAGCGCAATAAGGTCACCATCTCCTCTCGGGCACCGCTCCAACCCTTGCCTCTTCCCATTGAACTTTGGTCGTCCGTCAGCATGGATTTCATGTTAGGCCTACAACACCGGCATTATGGTTTGTGTCGACCGCGCGTCGAAATAGGTTATTGAGGTCCCCGTCTGGGACATGCTGAGCGGCGCGGACGCCGCTCGTTTTCTGTCGCTTCGGCCTGCCTCGCTCCATCGTTTCGGGCCGCGACCCGCGGTTCACGGCGAAGTTTTGGTCCACCCTTTTCCCTCTGTGCGACACCTCGCTCGAGATGTCGACTTCGGACCACCTCGAGTCCGACGGCCAAACGGAACGCGCCAACCGCGTCCTCGAAGATATTATTCGGAGTTACTCCGTCTCTACCGGTTCCTCGTGGGCTATCACGTTACAGCATGCGGTTTTCGTTTACAACGCCTCAGTTCAGGTGTCCACTGGCTTTTCGCCCTATTATGCAGTCCATCTCCAATACCCCCGCCTCCCTCCAATGCTAGACGGTTCGGTCTCAAGTGGGGGTGGAATCACTGCGCGGCTCTCTTCTGAAGGCGTACTCCCCAACGCCCGCAGCCGCACTCTCCAAACCATCCAGAGCTTCCTCACCCGCCGAGTCTCTGTCATGCAACAGATCCATGACAGCATCACTGCCGCTCAGCAGCGCCAATCAACTCAAGCCAACAAACATGGCCGCTCCAATCATGCGTCTTTCGCCGCTGGCGACCAAGTTCTCCTCCACAAGTCGGCGGTACCCGCCCATGCATTCCGCACCCGCGCGGTTGGAATGTCCTCCAACGTCAAGCTTCGCAGTGCTTGGCATAACCCCTTTACCGTCCTCCGCGTGGTCAGTCCAACCAACTACAAGCTCGCTCTGCCCAACTCATGGCAGATCCATCCAACATTTTATGTGGGTAAACTCAAACGGTATTTAGCCCCATTATCTACTTCTACGCCCGATGAAGCGACGGCAAAAGATCCTCTTGTTCCCTCGGCGACTCTTCTTCCTCTTCCGCCACCGTCGACTTCTCCTCCTCCTCCCCCGCCGTCCCAGGAGTCGCCGCCCACGACATCGGCCCCACCACGTGCTGTGGCGCCGCAATCGGCCGCGCCCCCGCCTGGTAATTCGCGACTGCTTGCCTCTCCGCCGCTATCAATTGACCATCCCGTTGAGGCCCCGACGGCGGATTGTACCTCGCAAACGGATTCACCGGCCGTGCCGTAGACAATCGCGCTTCCACCTGTGTCTCTTGGCGCGCCCATGTCGAGCAACTCGCAAACGCTACAAGATACTCAAGAAAATGCCACATCATTGCAAAGCTCGATCTGCCCCACGTCCACAGTCCAGCGCTCCAGGTGCTCCCGTTCATGCAACTCGCGCATGGCACCCTTGAACTCATCGAACCGGTGGAAACTCACCCTCGCAAGCTGCATGCATTCCAAGGCCAGAGGCATCCACAACACCTGCAACTCAAACGATTGGGCGCTTGTCAACAAGCGCAGGACACCGTTCCACGCCAGCAGCATTGGCCGTCTGGTACCCCCAGTCATCACGAGTTTCGTCGAACTCGCCCACCACTGTCAAACGGCGCGTAATATCGCGCACGTACCCCAAGTCCACGTGACCCTACCCGGCAGGCGTGAAGATTTGCGAGCGAACTCAGTAGAACCCCAACTCTCCCTCGAACACTTCGTCTTGGGCGAAGCCGGTCCGTCTGGTCCATCAAATTCTCCTTTCACTTTGGCCTCCGACTTTACGTGGGCTCCCTTGACGTTCGACTTTCCTTGCATTCCCCGAACGCCTGCAGCATTGGGATGTTCCCCATCACCCGATGTTGTATCAGTCACACCTCCGATGGCCGCCTTACTCGCTGATTCTGCAGCCTCCTTGGCTGCTTCGTCAGCCGCTTTCGCTGCGACCGCTGCGATCGCTTTGGCCTCTTCGGCGCGCTTTTCCTTCGCCTTCGCATCTTCGGCCGCTCTCGCCTTCTTGACGGCCTCCTCCCGTACCAAGTTCTTCTCCTGCAGCTTCTGCACACGTCTGCATGGCGCTTTTCACCAAGTCCGCAGCTGCTTGCTGCTCCAGCTGCCCAAGCCGTTCGGGCTTCACGGCCGCCTTGGCATCCCTGTCGGCCTTGCTCTGCGGCCGCATCCTCGGTCAGCGCCGCTACGTCGTCGTCGTCCGAATCGGCTGCGAGGTCCACTACCTCCACTGGTTGAGCCGACGCTTCGGCCTTCCACACTGTTGTCGGCATACTCGGCGATTTCGCTCGCCTTGCGCTTCTTGGCTTCGTATTCCATCCCCAATCTCAACTGTCACGTCACCGTTCCCTCTCATTTCTGACAACGTGATGATGGCACATCATCCGGTTGAGAACCGGATGACAAGTCGACACCTCTTCAGTCCAAGGTGTCCTTTCGCTTACCAACATGTCCTCTTGCGCAACCAAAGTGTTCTCCCGAGGATACATCAATGATTGTTGCGCGTAGATTCTACCATCTCCTGCGCCTTCCTCTGCGCATGCTCACAAAAACGCTATGAAGACATATAATATGCGTATTTTCGACCCCTGAATACCAAGTACTCGGCTAATTACAGTGTATATCGGGCACACGACCAAATACACGTATATATTGGGCACACGGCCAAATATATCTATCGGGTATTCGTCCAACTTCACTGCAAAAAGGTGTAGTAACCAACGTTCTACATTGATGCTCCAGGGATCGTGATCCAATCCCAACGAAACACACAGATCTCTTCGAATAAACGATATATTCATGCATACTACTATGCCTCAAAGCTGCCCTACGCTTGGCGTTGACGGCCTTCATGATCCACCAATGCATTCATGCTGTGCGTGCGTGGCTCCAAGCTGTCCTACGCGTTGGCCTTGACGGGCGTGATGTTCCAGTGTTGGTTGGTGTCTTTGTGGCTGTTGTCGTTGTTACACCAAAACAAGTGTAAGTATCCATTGCTGAATTTGGGGCCGTCCAAGCACCCATGTGCGTCGCATGATGGATGTGGCTCGTGATGTCGTTCACGACCCACTTCTGCAACTCGATCAGCACGTCGCCGTCCAACCTGATGCCAATCTCGAGGGGCTCGTCGGCCGCTCGACGATCAAGCTCGCCTGGGTCGGTTGCTCGTTACACGGCGACAAGTTGACCACGAGATTCCCGTTGGGGGTCGTTGGGCGGTTCACATTCACGTCCACTTGAATGCAAAACTTGGCGTCGTTCTGGCTCACAATGGTGCCGTTCACAATGCTCCACTTTTGATCGTTGGTCACGTTGGAGCAGGGGGACGTGCGCAGGTCTGCGTGTCGTTCTCGCTAGAAGATTCCAAGCACAGATTCGAGCTCTTGGAGTACAAGATGTTGGAATCTGGGTCCCGCAACCAGATCTCGTCGTCCCAGACGCCCGATCGACCGACGGACGGCTTCGCAGCATACACGCGCCGAAAGTTCTTGTTGACCGAGTCGTCGTCGGCGTTGCAGTAGCGGTGCGCCTTGATCACGTTGTCTCCGGCCCAGAGGCGGACCGCTTCGAGCGGCGCGCTGACGTGGACTTCCTCCACCCATCGCTTTAACGCGCGGTCAGCGTAGTGAATGCCAAAGTTGCGTTCAATGTCGGTCGGATTGAATGGCAAATCGAACGCGGCAAAGTAGAACGCATTGAGGTTCTGGCGCGCCACCAGGGTGAGAAAGTCCTGCGTGAACACGCCTTGGGCCCAGGGAGACGCCTCCTTGACGACGGGGTTCTCACCCGCTGTGCTCCAGCCGGCCTCGTGCAGCAGGATGAGCTTGCCGGCGCGCTTGGCGCGAGTCTCTTATTCCTGGAAGCGCATGAACGTAAAGTGCGCGCCTTCTTCCGCCGTCTTGTTCTCCCAGAACGAAAACTGGTTCACAGCGGCCACGTCAACCTCGTCGTACAACTCGGGGAACTTCGAGTACATGTCCATGATGTCGGAGATCACGACGGGGAACGTTAAGTTGTGGTCGCGGAGGTGGCTTCGCACTGTTTTGAGGTGGCCGAGGACGGTGTCGATGCCGTGGCGGTCGTTGCTGCCAGTCGTTTTGCCCGGCCCTAGCACGTAGTACCGGTACAAGGCTTCGCTCGACACTTGGATGCCGAGGATGTCGTCGTTATTGATCAATTTGGTACGATTCACGAGCTCCTTCAAGGCGTTATTTTGCGACGGGAATGAGTCGATCTTGGTGGTGGAGTTGACCTCGCTCCATAGGCCGAGCCAGACCTTGAGCCCGCTGTTGTGGGCGGCTTCGATCACGTTCTTGGCGCATTCAAAGTCCGTCCCGTAGATGCGGACGTTGTTGGTGACTTCCTTGAGGATATTGAAGTCCTCGGCGATCGTGTGGAAATCCTTGCACCCACCCCACTGCGAGGTACGGAAGTCGTAGTTGATGCCGTAGAACTTGGCGTCCAGCGCCGCCACGGACGAGGAGGCGAGTGCGGTAGCAATAGCAAGCGACGATGGTACTTTCATCGGAGAAAATTGGGGAATGCACGACTGGGGCTCGCCAACGCTTTCGACCAAGGGTGGAAGCCATGGGTCAGCATGGAAGCCATGGGATGTCCTCGCCAACTCTTTCGACCAAGGGTGGATGTGCGACGTAGAAGAAACCAGTAAATATCTGAAGACCCCAATAAATCGGCTCAAGGGGGTGATATGACAAACACCAAAAAACGTTCAATAAATCTGAATACCAGCCATATCTGAAAACCGTTCAAACCCACGGAATGCATGTCATTCTACTCAGTTTGTGCACAAATATATTACGCCGGAGTAAACGACAGCTGTGGCGAGAGTTGCCTTTGCAGCAAAACTTCAAGGTTGGCTCAGGTTTTTCACAGGCCGGGCAAGGTATCATCGGTGAAGTCGGACAAATAGTGGGATAATCACTGCTTGACAGAATTTTAATCGGACAAGCAGTGGGATAATTTGAAATAAGTGCAGGCAACAGTGGTCCGAACGAAAAAAGTAATACTACTGTATAGTCGTGCGACAACTTGTATGTCACGCATGATATGCGCAAGATGTTGAGATGTCACTGGACATGTGGTACTGGTGCTAATAGGCTGAAAACAGGAAAATATTGATTTTGGTTTAATTGTATTGGTTAAAATGGTGTTTTTCTACCAATCAGTATCGTGATGCTGAAGTGGTTGGCACTGATCTCACCCAATGGTACTCAATGTATCGAATCAATAACATTCAAT